GGGGGGGGGGGGGGGGGTAGGGCGGCGCCAGCAGGCCAGAGACCCTGGCGGGCTTGAAAGGAGGCAGGACACCGGAGACAGGCCCGGCTAGAACGGACACAGGCACCTAGCAAGCCTTCCCCGAGGAAGCCAGGGTTGTCTTGTCCTATTAAGCCTCTTTGCCTTGCTGTGGAGGGACCCTCACCTTGTGCCCTGACCTCAGCTTTCTCCCCAAACTTGGCTGAGGAGGGACCCACTTCTGGGCCTTGATCGGCAAAGCCACCGACTTGCAGCCCATAGGTCCCCAGCCCAGGGCCTGCTGCCCTCACTATGGTGAAGTTGTTGCCGGCCCAGGAGGCAGCCAAGATCTACCACACCAACTACGTGCGGAACTCGCGGGCCGTGGGCGTGATGTGGGGCACGCTCACCATCTGCTTTTCCGTGCTGGTCATGGCCCTCTTCATCCAGCCCTACTGGATCGGTGACAGCATCAGCACACCGCAGGCAGGCTACTTCGGTCTTTTCTCCTACTGCGTGGGCAACGTGCTGTCCTCCGAGCTCATCTGTAAGGGTGGTCCCCTGGACTTTTCCTCCATCCCCTCCAGAGCCTTTAAAACTGCCATGTTCTTTGTGGCCTTGGCCATGTTCCTCATCATTGGCTCCATCATCTGCTTCAGCCTGTTCTTCGTCTGCAACACGGCCACCGTCTACAAGATCTGCGCATGGATGCAGTTGGCTGCGGGTGAGCAGGGATGGTGGGAGGGCAGGCAGGGGTCCACCTCCAGGCCACAGCTGCAGCTGCACCATCCCCCCTTCTGTGGAGGTTCTGGGTCTCCTACTCAGCTGTCCTCCTTTAGCCCAGTCCTACTCAATCCTCTGCAGAAGATTCTGAGGAGTAGAGAAACTTAGAATGGTTGAGGCAAAAAGAACCTTAAAGATCAGACTGTTTAACTCGCTCATCTTACAGAAGAGTTACTAAGCTCAGAGAGGGGAAGTGACTTGTCCAGGAGCGCACAGCTCCTGGTAGAAGAAATCAGATGTCCTGACTCCCAGGCCACCACACCGGAAGTTTTTGCAGTTCTGGGATGGAGAAAGAAGGAAGCTTATATTGTTGGCCATGTGGGAATAAGACCCAACCCTTGGGCAAAATAGTGACACCTGTCAAGCATGATATAGATGCCCTCATTTCCCACTTTTGGGTATTCTTTCTCCTTTAAGAATATCCATTCCCTTCCGCCCCAAACTGCACTCAGGGAAGGTTTCAAGGTCACTCATTGATTTTTGTGTATTACTATTATGCTGGGTATGACTTCTCCCATAGAAACTTACATCTAAAGTCCCCTTTTTCATTGTGGAGTGAAAATCTTTGTTCCCTGATTATGGGATTCCATACTTGAGACAGCAAATGGAGTGATATTTTGTGAGGTGGAGGAGGCTATCCAGGGTTTTTAAAAACTATGTGGGGTAGGTGGCCACTCGTGGTTTCCTGAGGCAAGGCCCTCCCTGCCCTTTTTCCTGCTCCTGGCCCAGGCAGGCCTCTTGGTTCTTGGACCAGCTGGTCTTGCTCTCCTCTGGAGCCCAGAAAGAGATGGTCTAAAGCCTTGTCCTGCAGCCTTTGGTCCCTTGGCCTCTGCACACCCCAAGAATTGCATGTAGACTGTCCATGCTGGGGAGATGTTCAGGAGCAGTGCTGGGGACTAGAGACTAGAGCGAAACCATCATGACATTATTGGTTAGAATGAGAAGCATTATTATCCTTAATAGGGGGAATGAAACAGGGATGTGAATTCCAGGCCACCAAACACACAGACTCAGGACTACAGAGTTGCAGGGGTGGTGTCCCAGAGAGCTATTATCCCTCCCCTCGACTATAGATGAAGAATCTGGGCCTGAGAAAGAGAGGATCAGACTTGGCCAAGGCTATAGCAGATCAGCTGGTAACTGACAACCTAGGAAAATTAAGACAGCAGTTCTCAAGAAACTAGATGTAATTAAAAGACATTTTTATTGAGCTACATATTTTTGAGACTCACTGAGGTTAAGTGATGTTATCAAAATCACTAGTAGTGTTGGAAACTGGATCCAAACTCAGAACTATACACAGTCATAGTTCCATCTTGCAGAAAAAAGAAAAGATCTAACTACTGATTTGCTTATGCACTCCCATAGGCTTTTAAGAAAGAAAAAAAAATTCAGGGTATCCACCTTTATAGAACACCCACTTGGCATCATAGGAGGCTGGGTGGGCTCCTAAGATGAAAGAAAACCATTAGGAGGCCCTGACCCCAAGGGGCATACAACCCCTCACAGGTAAAATAACCATAGCACAAAGCAGAATGAAGTCAGTGCTGGGATACAGAAATACAGTGAGATTGAAGAAGGCAAAGTTAATTCAGCTGGAGATTAACATGAGCTTGAAGATTCAGGTAGACTGTACAGAAGAAGTGGTTTCTTTTTTGTTTTTTATAATCATGGTGAAATATACATAAAACTTACCATTTTGACCATTGCAACCATCACCATCTATCCGTAGAACTTTTTTTCATCTTGCAAAACTAAAAGTCTAGACTCATTAAACACTAATTCCCTAGTATACATAAGTATAATGATTTACAAAATACATTCACATATATTATCTGGAGGAGCCTCATCACAACCCAGTGAGGAGGGTATTTCTCCATTTTACAAATAAGGCTCCTAGTAGGTAACTTGCCTTTGAGCACACAGGTAGTGAGGGACAGAACTTTGATTCCAAATCTTGCACCTAGGTCCCTCACTTGGCTTAAGAACTCCTCTCTAATCCACCCGCTTTCTCCCTCTCCTTTGTAGTCTCTGTGTGATAAGGGAGAGTCTGGGGCAGGGGTGAGGCAAGTCTTGGGGGGCACTGGGGAGAAAGGCAGAGGGTGGACATACCAAGAAAGAAGGGGAATGGTGATGCAGCAGTTTTGTGCCAAAGAGGAGTAGAATGGACCCTAACATGTTTGCCAGCTGGTCTTCATATTGGGCTTATGAGATGCTGAAAACACAACCGTCTCTGTATCATTTTCCCACCCCCATCCCCCACCCTCCCGCAAAAACCCTGTAACAGGTGCCATTTGCTGAGCAAGCAATGCCAGGAGGGTCAGGTGGGGGAGGGGTCACCAGACCATCAGGTAGATTGTATCTGTATCTGCGTCACAGAGCTAGAGCCACCGATAGCAGAAGTGGCCAGGTGTCATTCTATGAAAGATTTATGTTGGGGGAGGGCAAAGGTGGTGTCGTATTCCATTCTCCTGGGGAAGGGAGAATGAGCCAAAGGGAGGGAGGGGGTGTGCCCCACAGCCAGCAGCTGGGAGATGCATTCATTTGAAGAGGCCTAAACCGGTTAGCTTAACCTTGCCAAGAAGCCTGGGAGCAGAGAAAGGGTGAGCAGAGAGGAGGGCTAATGACTGGGGCAATGAGGGACTCTAGCTTAACAATATTAATTGAGCCTCTGGATGCCAGGTATAGGCTGATTGTGGTCCTAGCTCCTAGAAACACAGGTGCACAAGTTGCTTGCCTTTTCTGAGTCTTGGTAACCTCATGTCTTAATCAGTTTGAGCTGCTATAACAAATTAACATTGGCTGGGAAGCTTAAACAACCAAAGTTTATTTCTCAAAGTTATGGAGGCTGGAAGTTCAAATCAGGGTGCCAGCGTGGCATTAGAGCTGTTCACATTAGAGCTCTGGTGAGGTCCTCTTCTGGGCTGTAGACTTTCAACTTCTTGCTGTGTCCTCACATTGTGGAGAGAGGTTGAGAGGGCCCTCTGGGGTCCCTTTTATAAGGGTAGTAATCCCATTTATGAGGGCTCCAGCCTCATGTCCTAATCTCTTCCCAAAGGTCCCACTTCCTAACACCATCACATTGGGGATTAGGATTTCAACCTTTGAATTTCGGGGGACACAAACATTCAGTCCATTGTACCTCATCTGTAGATCATAGCAACAGTACCCCCTTTCATGGGGTTCTTGTGAGGTTGGGATGATGCAGTGCATGTAAAATACCTTGCACATGGTAGGTGCTCAGTGAATGCAAAAAACACAGAAATCAACTTTATGTTAGTCAGGATGGGAAGTGATGCCACAGTAACAAAAAACTCCCAAATCTTCGTGGCTTATTTATATCTTGCTTATGGTTCATGCCCACTGGAGATCAGTTGGGGCCTTGCTCTCATTGTTTCCTTCTAGGACCCAGGCTAATGGAGCATCAGCTGTCATTGGCTGTCCTCATTGTAGAGGAAAAGGGAGCTCTGGAAGGTCTCCCACCAGCAGTTAAATACTCTGGCCTGGAAGTATACACCTCTGCTCACATCTTATTAGCCAGAGGAAGTCATACGGCCTTGCCTAACCTCAAGGGAGTGGGGCAAAAAAGTGCAGTCCTACCATGTACCTGGAATATTTGTGAACAGTTTGATTGGCCTCCACATCCCGAGGTGACTTCCATCTGACTCTGATGCCAATAATAATAGCATCAATTAACATTAATTGGCCACTTACCATGTACCAGACACTGTAGTAAGCATTTTCTATAAATGATCACACTTAATCTTCATAACCCTGCTATGAGTCAGGTATTATTCTCCCTCTTTTAAAGACAAGAGCTGCAAGTCAAAAAGGGTAAGTAAATTGTCCTGCGAATACTGTGCTGGCCTCTGCTTAGATCCCTGAGACACCACAAATGGGGTAAACTCTCACTGTACCCAGAGGCTGTGGCACCTACAACATGTTTCCAAGTCAGAGGCCCAGGGGTCTTTTTTTAGAGCCGCCGCAGGAATGAGCTGGGGAAGGGGGCCGAGGGGAAGAGCAATGAGGAGAATGGAAAGTCTGGAAGGGCATCTCCTTTCCACATTCACCTGTGCTCTGAGCATTTGTGGGCACCCTCTTTAAGCTAGGGGCCAAGGCAGGCACTGAACAAGCCGAGTCCTAGGAAGGTAACTTTGGGTCCTGAGAGGTGCTTCTCTGACAAGCTCCTGAGTAGAATACAGCCTTGGGACTAGACAGCCTCTGGGCCTGTGGAAGGAGGGCCAAGGTTAGAAAAGTGGCACAAATAGGGGAGGTGTTCCCTGCCTGTATGGCAGTTGTGCTTAGGGTTGCCCTAGTCACATGTTGGGATTATGTCACCTGTTTGTGCCTTAGCTAGTGAAACTAAGTTGGGGGAGGTGATTTGATGGGAGGGGATGGAAGGAGTCAGGGGAAGGTGGTGAAAATGGAATTTTTAGCCGTAAATACCAACTCAATGAAGGCACAGAGTGGAATATTAATAGCTAATACTTGTGAAGTGACAAGTACGTGCCAAGCAGTGTTCTAAGCACTTTTCTAATATTAACTCATTTGAATCTCACTGCCCAACAGATAGGTACCAGCATTATCTCCATTTTACAGATGAGGAAGAAAACTTAAGTATCTTGCTCCAAGTTACACAGCTAGTTAAAGAGCCGGGCTTGAAGTCCAGGCAGCGTGGTCTAGTGCTTCCCAGCTTTTTGTATTGAGAGAATCACCTGGAAGAGTAATTTAAAAACAGGGATTTCTTATCCCAACTCCGATCTGGGAACAGCATTTAAAATAAATATTACAAGGGATTCTTAAATTCAGGGAAGTATGGGCAATTGCACTGTGCTGAAGTGGGTAAGGGTGAGGAGGAAACCTGTTTACTTGAAGGGAAGGTTCATGAAGAAAGCAGCCGAGGATGGGGCCGGAAGCCTTCCTGCATTCACTGAACCTAAGCTACCTGAGTTGTTGGTTACACCGTTATTTTTTTTTTTTTTGTCTTTTTCCGTGTCCGGCAACGGATCGCAACCCTCAGTGTCGCCCCCGTACCGGACCGGGACCGGCAACGGGATCGCAACCCTCGGCGCTGCTCCCGCGCCTCGCTCAGCCAGTGAGCGGCCGGTCCGCATGTGGGATCTGAACCCTTGGCGGGAGCGCCGCCATGCTTCCCAAGTGGCGCACTATAGCAGTGCGCCACCGGGCCGGCCCACACCGTTATTTTATGCACTGTAAAAAGGAAAAATACTGCTAATCAAACTATGGCCTGATGCTTTCTTATCACACTTACTTCAGAGATGTCGAAATTATGAACAAATGTACATGTTAGGAGTGATGAGTTCTCTGGGATGGGATCGGATTTTGGAAGGCTTTGAAGCCAGGGTAGGCAGTACCTCATTGACGCCAAGGTATGGAGAATGGCTGAGAGCCTGGTAGGACTACCTAATGTGGTGGCAGAACCCGCTGTGGGCTGAAGAGCTTGGTTCTTTGCCTCTACTTCTGCCCCTGACCACTGGGCCCCAGGGGCCAGTTGCTGTAGCTCTTGGAGCCTCCATTTTCTCACCTGTATTCTGCAAGAAGGGTGGTAGAAGCTGACTCTTTTGCCTCTCAAGGCCGTTAACAGAAGGAGAAGGGAGGTGACAAGATAACAGCAGTGTAAGGTGGGAGGTAGCAGGCTGGGTGTACGCAACTTGACACCACCTGCACCCCTTCTTGCCCCACAGCCACAGGCCTAATGATTGGCTGCCTGGTCTACCCAGATGGTTGGGACTCGAGTGAGGTGCGGCGCATGTGTGGGGAGCAGACGGGCAAGTACACACTGGGCCACTGCACCATCCGCTGGGCCTTCATGCTGGCCATCCTCAGCATTGGTGACGCCCTCATCCTCTCCTTCTTGGCCTTCGTGTTGGGCTACCGGCAGGACAAGCTCCTCCCTGATGACTACAAGGCAGATGGAAAAGGTAACCTGCCCTCCTCCAGAATGGTGTCCCCTGTCTGGTGATCCCAGGGATGGGGGTGGGGGCTCATCTTAGCCAGTCCCTTGAGGCTCAGCCCCTGGCTAATGGGTGGGGACACCAAGACCAATCAGACACAGCCCTTGTCCTCTCTGAGGCCAAAAGCCAGTGGAGAGTTGCAAGATGGCAGGCGATGAAGCAATGGGAGACCTGTGTGGCACAGGCTATCTGTGACAGAGGGGCATACCCCAACCCCTCTGCACTCTCAGAGTCTATAGGGGAGAGAGCCATATCCAGTCTGGAGAGCTAAGTGTGGTTTCTCCTAGAAGGAGGTACTGAGGCTGGATCTTGAAGTTATACTGGGAGTTTGCTATGTGGAGAGAGGGATATCAGGGGAGTAGAGGGGATGAGTTGTTGGGAAAGGAGGAGGAAGGCAGGTTAATGCTTGGGATACCTTGGGAACAACCCAGCAAATGTGTAGAAGTGACAGCTCCTGGAAGGCAAATGGTGGGAGCCTGGGCTCACTAGGGCTAGGGCAGCCTTGGAGTTCTCTATATATCCATACAGTTTCAATTCCCTCTCATCCGAATCCTACCTGCCAGTCATAAAGATCAGCTGTCGGCGACCCTTGAGGCCTACGTGCATGCTCCAAAAACCTTCCCTTACTACTTCCATTGACTTCCCTTCTTCCTAGGGTATTTTCTGCTCCTGTCCCTCGTTAGACTCTTACCCTGTCTCTCTTAAGGGGTTAACTTTTTCAGAGCATAAATTTCATCTCCTAGTCAAAGGGCAAGGCCTGTCTCACACCCCCATGAATTTTAGAATGCCTGCTCTCAGTGGGTGGTCACTATTAGGGACCTGTTACACCTCAGGGACCTCTCCAGTCTTCTTTCTCCATAGTTGTCTTCACATCAGCTCTTGGACTTGGACTAGAAGAAGTAGCCAAACTCTTCTGCTCCCTGTGACCAAAGACCCTTCCCACACGAGGAACTTGAAGTTCAAAAGGAGACTTACCCAGAGGTTCACAGAAAGGTGGTGGCAAAGAAGAGCCTAGAACTCAGTCTTCTCTAGCTGAGCCTGGGACTCACTCCTCCATAGGGAAGTAATCTGCACTATTTCATTCTTCTTTGGGAATGGAAGCAGAGAGACTCACGAACCTGTTATGTGGTTAAAGATGGAAACCAGGGGCCAGCCCGGTGGCGCACTGCTACAGTGCGCCACATGGGAGTGCGGTGGCGCTCCCGCCAAGGGTTCGGATCCCACATACAGACCGGTTCCCGCTCACTGGCTGAGCGAGGTGCGGGAGCAACACCGAGGGTTGCGATCCCGTTGCCGGTCCCGGTCTGGTACGGGCGTGACACTGAGGGTTGCAATCCGTTGCTGGACAAGAAAAAAAAAAAAAAAGACAAAAAAAAAAAAAAAAAGAAAAAAAAAAAAAAAAAAAGAAAAAAAAAAAATAAAAAAAAGAGGCGCGGCGGGGGGGGGAGGGGGGGGAGTTTTTTTTC